TATATAAGATGCATTAAGTTATGTTGCCAAAAAGTGGCCGACAAGATCAGATACAAAACATTAAGTTCAAACAATATGCATTAAATGATGTTGCCAAAAGGTGGCGTCGCCAGTTGTTACTAGTAGCGATGTCTTTGCAATATGCCTACCGACGAAGCGTTGTTGCCGAACTCGGGTCGTTGTACGGGGATGACCCGTGTCGACACAGATGACCCGAACTGTCTCGGTGGTGTTTGGCTCGGTGCAGGTGAGGAGCCGACTTTCAGCTCATTTGCTTGAGACTTGTCTTCCACCTCGCTTGGCTAAGGAGCAAGACATAGGTTCAGACCCTTCTACCATCTTCTACCGGTTCAGACATGCTTTCACACCCGCTTTACCGGTGGGTGTCCTGAAAAACCAAGAACATGTCCTCATTTCTGATGGAAAGCAATTCTTGGCCCCAAAAAGGAAGACACGATGCATCATGAAACTTCGTCAATATTTGAGGAGCCGGGAGCTTGGGAGCTACAACTACATAGACGGGGGTTTTACAGGTAGATCGGTCCTTCTAAACATGAGAGTGTTACTATAGCTGGCTTCATCCTCGCATCATTCACACTCCAGCAGTGCGATACTTTTGCGAGCTACTTAGAATGCCTCAACTCAGAAAACACGATGATGTTTCTTGAATTCAAGACTGCCATGAACGTCATGACCCTTGTTGTCCACTCTGAGTGCCCATGGCATAACATGGCTATTTCTGGGCAGAGGAAAATCACGAGAGGTTGGAACATGGTGGAGCAGATCTGTTCCCATCATTGAAGACCTTCTCAACGCTTCTCAGCTCGTGAAAGCACATGAAAGCACCTTTGCAAGACCACACAAGTCATAACACAACCCTTGGTCATCTCATCTACCCAACGCTCCATAGAGACGTGAGTCTTCGATGGAGCGTATACACGGTGCGTATGCACGCTTTCGCGTGTATACGCACCTGTCCGGCCGAGGACAGGCGCGCGATGCGGCTGCGAAGGGCAACTTTAACTCACGTCCACCCGCGAAAAGAATCTCGACCCGAAACACCGTTGGGGAAAAAAACCCAAGAAAAAGAAGAACACCAGCAGTCACGTACCTACGGGGTTGCGATCGATGGAGGGAGGTAGGGGGGCCCCGGTCACCTCCACTCACTGGATGGGACTAGACACCAACCCCGACATGTGCACTGCTGGAGAACACGTCTTGGTTCCTTGGGACGTCCGAAGTGGTCACCCCAAATCCGCTTTGACGGAGAGGATCCAGGCCAACAGCGGGGGGTCGCCAGGCGCCACACCGTCCACACCGGTCCGTCCGTGGCGAACGCCCGGTGGCGAACGCCCGATGCGTCTCGAACTCGGCATGGCACGAACTCGGCTCCGGCCGTGGAGTATTCTTTCAACGCCCGGGCGATGCGCAAGGCGTCCAAGGCCGGTAAGCCTGGCAGGGGGGTGTGTTTTTTGAACGGAGAAGCGGTGAAAAAGGCAGAGTAACAGGGTAGCACCGTGCCCCTTGTTACTGATAGCTTCTTGTTACCAGTAGCCATGGCCTCCAACCTCATAGCGATGGCCTCCACCTCCACCTAGTAGCTTCTTGTTACTTGTAGTAATGCATAGTCATGCCCTTGTTACTAGTAGTAACAGGAAGAGAGTGGTAGGGGAACCATCCAATTCAAATAAGGTGAGGGATGCGGATGGGTTCCCCAAAAAGAAGACGAAAAAGCACACCCTTTGACAGAGCCCCCAATAAAACTCCGTTAGCCCTCTGAAGATTCTGAAGCTACCAGTGATCACGGGGTGTTCTGAGGTGGGATTCGCACCAAACTGAGGAGTGGGGCGGCAAGGAAAGGTGCGACAAAGGCCCACCAGAGCGGATGACAAAGCGCGTCGTGCAACACTCAACAGGCTGTAACTTGGGGAGATGAGATCTGTGAGAACGACCGGTGAAACGAAATGGTACTGGTCACCCACTGAATCACAAACATCAAAGGAATCTTTAGGAATGATGGACTATGCGGTCGACTGTGGGGCCTACCCTGATCGACTGTGGGGCTGTTTCTAAGCTGAAAGCAACCTGGAAGTAAGTGATCAAGCTGCTTAGTCCCTTAGTGTTTATCCATCTAATTTCCAGCCTTACCCCAAAAAACTGACTCAAGTGAGCACCCCTTCAGATCGCAAAGCACAACCCTGCAACATCCTGAAACAATCCAAAGGATTCACATGCCCCACAAAAGCTATATACCTATAGAACATCCTATAGAACCTCTTTGACCTCTGTGTTTTGGACAGGAATGGACCATGTTAGGGTTTCCCCAACCATCCTCCCAACCAGCTTCCTTCACTCTCTTTGACAGTCCCCTCTCTCTCTGTTTCCCTTGTTCTTCTTCCTCCGTCGCTCTTCCTCCGTCCCCTCGCTTCTTCCTCCGTCTCTTTCCGTCGCTCCGTCTCTTTCGCCTCGGGCCACGAGGACCTCGCCGCGGCTCTGCAGGTCTTTCTTCGCTTTGCGCTTCACCTGACGACGTCGACCGCTGCCGGACGAGACAGGCACGACGGCAGCAGGAGACAGACGGAAGACCGACGGAGACAGACGGATCATGTCGGACTGGTGAGTTCCAGTTAGGCCTGAGGAACGATGGTTTTGCGCAGCATTGTATTGTTTATTAATGACTTAGTTGAATGCCTGAGACAATGAAGTGTTATGTAATTAGAAAAGGATGTGGTGGCATGGCATGGATGTGTCTCTTTCAATCGGGTCGCAGATTGGGACACAAATGCTTGACTTGCGATTCGTATCCTCCGCCTCCTTGTTGTCCATGCCTTGTCACGGTGTGTCCCCCATCAAGAATCAAGGACAAGGAACTCTTTCGTTCAAGAATGCAAGACCCACACACTCTGCAAGACCCACATATTATGTGAAAATCCCCAACTTGAAATGGTCTTCCCTGCAATCGTTCACCTGGCCTTTCCTGCTGCGTGTGATAAGTCTATGTTGCCAAGAAAGTCTAAGACAACTCCTGTGTGTTTTGTGAAGAGTTTGGGAACGGAGGTCCACCGACCCAGGTTGTTCACGCACTTGAAACACCGACCCATCCACGGCACTCCATCCGGGCATCCGGCGCCTGATTCTGGGAGCCAGGCCAACCGATCTCAGACCAAGACCTGGAGCAAAGGACGGTCGACTTCCCGGTTCAGGGCTGGGCTCGACTCAGAACCTGTGCCTTGCTTCGCCGAAGGTCATCGGAAGTCCGACGGCAGTCTGAAAGTCTGTGTCAAGATCATGGAGAAAAGGGAGGATGAGAAGAATATCGAAGAATTGAACACCTGATACTCGCCTGGCGGTAGATGTCGAACCAAGAACTTCTTTCTCTCTCGAAGTGCTCAGTGGACTCTCCCCGCCCAGCTCCGGCCTGCCCTCCATGGCCACATTGCAACAGCTACCTGAGGCTTTTTACAAGCTCCCAATGGCATCAGCTGTGTTTGGCATCTAGACCATCTACTGGTGCTAGACCATCTAAGTCGACCTGTTGCATCTATAGACAATCTAAGTCCACCATGGCAGCTGTGTTGCATCAATCTACTTTGGCATCTGAACAATCTAAGTCCATCATGCTAGTTATGTTCTGCATGCCCGACAAGCAACCATCACTCAAGGTGACACACCATGCATGTAAAAGTATCGACTTTTCCACCAAGCGACGAATCTTCTGCCACAAATAGTCCAGCACCACTTGGAAATCCTGCTTTGACCAGGCGCTTTTGATGTTAACAGTTGACAGGCCACAGGGGACATGAGGGAGCCGATGCTCACGTGTCCACAGGTTTTTTTCAAAAACAAGGACACCGTAAGAGCGATAGCGGTCGAAGTAAGCCCATTGAAAATCATATTCAAGATCATCCATTCGACTAGGAACAAGGACACTAGTAGTAGCTCCTGGCCTTACTACGAACAAGAAGCTACTTACTAGTAACAAGGGGCATCGCTACTAGGAGAAAGGACGCTACTAGTAGGACCATCTATTCGACTTCAACTATTTACACGTTGTCACTAGCTTGGATTTCTTCGATACTCGAAGAGCAATTGGTGTGGCCGCCTCATTCAGTCTGTGAAAAAATCGGTGCGGGAGGCACTGTGATTGCCAGTTCGCTGTACATATATAGTAAACTAACAGGTCTCAATTGGTGACCTGGCAGTGAGGGTGCTGGTATATGTATCTTATTGTATTCTGCCCAGGGAGGCCTCCCAACTCGCATGGATTTCGTCTGTTTATGTTTGTGTTTGATTTTCGACGTCAACCTGGGGTGTCTCCGAAAAATACCACCCCCGAAGCGTCTCGAAACGTGCGATCCAAAACTCCTCGAAACCACCTGGTGACGCCTGCGAGTCGAATCAAAACGCGAGTCGAGGCTGAACATCGCTCCTCAGGTGGCTGATTGTTCCAATGAAGTTCCTCGTTCGGGCGACCAAAAAAAGAGGCTCTGTTCGGGTGAAGGGAGGGTTCAACCTGAAGCAGTTACCACAAAACACCAGCGATCGGATGTGAGCCAAGAGAGGTTGAAAGACCTGAACTAGGATCCTGTAGTGGTAACTAAATATGTTGAAGGATGTCCTGTAAGCCTAGGGAGGAAAAAACACATTTAAGAAAAACAAACAAGTTAGACGGCCAGTGCTTGGCTTCAGAACTCTCCAAACCAGTGATGTACTCCAGTTTTTTGTTGTGCAACAAGATCAAGATCAACCATAAGAAGAACCTTCTTGACCGCGAAAAACACACAAAACATGGTTGATATAACTATAGTTATACCTACCCCCCTCTTCCGCGCGCCAAGCTTCGATGTACTCTCTGACCTCTTGCTGGAACTTCACTCGTACCCCAAAGCCTCAGCACTAAGGGGGCGGAGGCCGCAGGAACCGGAGCACTCCCGAGAGGCATGTGGACGGGAGAGCGCGGTCAGCGAGAGATGATCGATCCAGGTGGTATCAGAATATTTAGACTGCGCAAGTTCGGAGATTTTTTTCAACAAGTATAGTACTGAACAAATCCAGTTCTTGTCCTTCTTGGGTTGGCAAGAAGATGCAAGACTTAATGTTCAGTCAAACTTGCCATGTGTTGATCTGTCCTGGTACACACCCGTCCACACCTAGAAGTAGCAACTCAGGCTTATCGGTCTATGCGGACAATTCGGTCCAATCCAGTCTCATCCTGCTCTCCTCTCCTCTTCCACCCACTTACCAAATCAAATAAACAAAAAAAGACAAACAGAACCTCCCCAGACTTCCCACCACCATCCAAAGACGCCTGACTTTGCTTCACACACCGCCCCATATTTCTCATCCCATCCTTCCCACCCCACCCCACTTCTTCCCCACCGCATCCCGCTCGGTGACCCTGGGCGGCCCAGAAGCAGGTGCGGCTCTGGGCGTCTTGTTTCCGCGACGCCGCGCCGCGCGAGGGCGACAGTAACAAGCGCCCGGAGGGCTCCATCGACAGGAGCATCTCCGCCTGGTCGGAGTGGCTCGGGTTTAGGGTTTAGGCTTTAGGGTTTAGGGCCTCTCGGCCGCGTGGCAGCTGCTCACATGCGAAGATGGCACCACCCCCTTTTCTTTAGGCTTTAGGGTTTAGGGCCTCCCACCGCGCCGCGCTGCGACCGGTGGGGTCGACAGGGCGTAGTGGAACGGAGCGTGGTGACATTGAGGAGACTTCCCTCGTGAGTGGTGGAAACTCCAAGTTGGGCCCTCAAAGCCATTCTCTCTTCAAGCAATTAAAAGCTGTCCACTCACTCGCGCTTCCCTGCCTTCTTCTCTTTCCTTGGCTTCAAAGCGTCAAGGAGTGATCAATGACTTGTGGGCATCATTCTCACATGTCTCGTGCCTGTTGTCCCAAGGGTGTCCCGTGTATCACCCCGCCTCACACCGACGCCGCCCGCCTCCGCCACGTTGTTTCGCGCTCCTCCTCCGGTCCAGTCCATCACGGTCAAGTGGCTCCCCTTCGCTGGCACTGAACTTCAGCCTCCATTCGCCGTTCCTCGAAGTGTTCCAGGTGGAAAGAGAGAGGAAGAGGAGGAGGTCTTGGAACAAGGAGTCCAGGTTCAGTGAAGGAGGTCTTCTCCGAAACTCCGCACGAACTATATGGAAGTGGAAGACAGAACCTGTTTGGTCTTCGGATTTCTATGGCATCCACGTAACCAGGATTAGTTCAGGGAGTCCTCCAGGAGGGTATGTCTTGTCGCAGGTTGAAGTTGATCCGTCCTGCTCAAGAGGTGTCTCTTGCTGGGTCCAAATGTCCAAAGATGGAGAACTAGATCGCAGCGCACCCAAGCTTAGTCTAGCCTGGGCTATGTATAAATGCTGCTCACAAGTTCAAGACTCTTGTTTTGTTACATGTTGCTTGCCTTCCACCAAACATGATAGCAATGCGGACCTTCATCCAATTCGACCACTTAGTGGTAGGGCCATGCAAAGAAACAATCAAACCCACCTCGCCTCGCCTCTGAGAAAACTCGTTTTTTTCCGTCTGAGGCTCATCATCTGACGCAGCTTGGACGATGCATCCAAGTCTTTCTTCTGCAGTGAGGGTTCATGGTACCCTTCTGGCGCCACCACGCCTCACGCGGGTGTGCGCGAGGTCTCAGGGCAGCCGCAAAGCGGGCCCAACAGGACCAACGGACAACAGCCCGAGCTGCATGGTCATTGGTTTGAACCCGAGCTTGTTCACGGCGAAGCAAACGAGTTTTGTGGGGTCTTGGAGGCCCTTTTTGGGGGGTCTTCATCCCAAGGGCCCAAGGGAGTGCAGGTGTTTGTTTCCTTCGGCCTGACCACAGTGTGACCTTCACTTTCTGACGCAGAACTGACGGATGTTCTATGGCAACATGTCGGCCGTGTTTTCTGTAAACTTCAACAGCTGAACCTGGTGGCCCGAGCTCTATGTGTGTTTGGACCAAACACCCAAAAGAATGACCGAACACGAGTCTCGGAGCACGTATGGTTCGTTCCATCCGGCCGTGGATGCGATGTGACAGGGCGTGACTCCTCCATGTGACTCCTGGTTTAAGTTTACCTCTTTTCGTCACACTTCCAAAACACCAGCGATCCGCCTCTCCTAAGGAAAAACACACACACAAAAAAACAAAACATCCCTGCAACAAGTTCCCACCCCCGCGCGTGCGGGCCACGCTCTGGTTGCAACTGACTTCTGCCCTCGGTCCGTGCGGAGTTTAAAAACACAAAAGCCACGCCTCCCCGCCACACGAAGACGGAGCTGCTGCCATTGGTGGCCTCAGGGTGGGGCGGTTGCTTTCCCAGCCAAAGTCCAGTCGACGGCCGTTTTGCAGCACCGAAGTAAAAGAAAGGCCTGAACTCGAATCACCTAATTAAAGTCCATAAAAGAGTCGACTGGACTTCCAGGGGTACTATGACAGCACTACAGGCAAGAAAAAAATATTGCAACATGTTGGAATATGCAAAGCACTCTAACACTGCTTGAAGACACCTGCCGGCATCAAGGTTCTATATGTGTGTGTTTTTGTTCAACTCCTTGTCTTCTATCCAATGTTCAACATGTATGCTTTGCAAGAAACCGGTCTTCATTCTTTCAGCTGTCCAAGTATAACATGATTTGATGTGAAGTAAAGTAATGTAGACTCTTGATTCTATTCACAGAATTGGATTATATGATTGGAGGTTTACGAAATCAAGAGTCTACAGGAGTTGCTTCGCATCGCTCCAGCTGACAAATCGCTCCAAAGCGGCTGATTCTTCTTCGCTCTCCATCTCACCTCGCGGCAAATCCAGCAACAGCATGCGATCCGCCTGGGCCAACGGCACGATACGCCACACGGCCGATGTGGGGGTTGATTTGGGGGTCAATGTACTGGTCAATGTGGTCAATGCGCAGGTGCTTTTCATGTGGTCAAAGTGATGGGTTTGAAGCAAAAAGAAAGGAATGAGTCTTTGTTGCCGCTATTTCTCCTGATTCTTTTGTGGGATCTCCCTATGAACTGAGGACGGCCTGCTGACGAACCCACCTTCCTTTCAAATGGGCGAACGACCTCGATCCCCACGGCAACGCTACGAACGGTACGCACGGTATACACGGTCTACCCAACGTGCCCGTCCACGCGACGCCGGCAGACGCCACGCGACGACGGCGCCTTGGAGGGGAGCATCGGAGTGCGAAACCAGAGGGTCAAGGAGTACCTGGCAGAACTGCGGAGGTGCCAAATGCCGGAGGTCTGAAGGTAGGATGAAAATGGATGAAAGGCGGAGGTAGGATGAACTCCTCTAAATGGTACTGACACTTGGGTTTGACCTGGTCTCTGTTCTCGGGTGTCACATGGTGTCACCACGCACATCTCTGTTGTGTTTTGTGGGAATTGACGGACAGAGTGGATGCGAAGTCCAAAACTCCGGCAGCCGAGCTGCACCAATGTCAGGAACATGATCCCAGCACTCTGTTATAGTTTGTGAAGCTTTAGGGTTTAGGGTCATCGGTCTTAGACTCGCGGCCTTTCCTCTTGGGCATAACACCGACAGGGGTCGCCTTCCCAGTACCATCGCCGCGTCTCACTCAGCGTCGCCCGCCGCCCCGAGATCGGTTTCTCCCGAAGGACTGCCGTCCGCGGCGCCGCGGCGGGGCACTTGTTGATCCGCCGATCCGAGTTCCCATTGGGCGCCAGCTGAATGCGTTGGACCGCCAGGCCCGCCCTGGCGTCGAAGAGCAGGAAGTTTTTGCCTCGAAACGAGAAACAGGAAGGTCACAGTTGGGCGAAGAAGAATTGGGTGGGTGAGGAGACGAAAGGAAGTACCCCCTAGGCCTCCAGTCGTACCTTCTGAGAAGGTGGGACTGGGGGGTTTGGAGGGTACTTGGAGGTGTAGGGTGCTATGGAAATGCTATCAGATCACCACTGCTACAGTATCTTAGTATCTCTCTCCGAAGCGCTTCATCGAAATATCGAAAATGACATTCGGTGTGCTATTTGATGAATTGTGGTGAATGTATAGGTCATGTCCCCCCAAAAAACAAGATATTACCACAAAAAGCATTTGGGCACAGGGTACATATGTTATGTCCACTACGCCGTATATCTTTTATAACTGTAACTAACTTTGTCTGGTGTTGGTTGTTCTTGTTGTTTTTTCGTTCTGCTCCTCCAGGGAATTTTCCGGAGCACCGGAATTCCTGCGGTTGAGGTAGTGTTCACTGGCCCCATGAGGTAAGTATTCAGTTGAAGGAGAGGGAGTCTCATGATGAGCCTTTCACAAGTGGGCGGAGTTTTGGTTTCCAAATATTTCCATGAAGAGAATGATTGGGAGGGCGCCAAGTTGACGGCCTTCGCTTTCTTTAGCCAATCGCAGCAAGATGGATTAGTGGTTTTCTTAGTATGCCAATGAGTTATCCATCTGAATCCGACATGAACATGGATGTATGATAGATCCCAGACACTCCATGGGACTGCCATATATGCCTACATTGACCCCCAGTCAACCACCCCTGGCCTGATCGGTAAATATACCAGTCCCATGGAGTCTCTGGGGATAGGTGAAGCCGGTGGAGCTGGATTCTACCCGGCTCCACGGCTCGACCCGGTGCCGTGGCGAAGCGAGTTCTCGAGTCACCGGAGCGACCAGACGAAGTTCTGTAGCTTTTGGGGGTCGAGGTCATAGGAAGTTCTGGGTGGATTCATCTGGCAAAAGGGATGTATGTTGGATCGAACATGGTGGCAAAAAGAACATCATGGAACTCCTCGGAAAAGAAGGTCTGCATGTTTTAGAGTATCTCATGTCAATCGGATGTGGGCAAATCTCCATCAAGCGAGGAAAATTGCCCAGCAGTTCCAAAGGGGTGCTTATTGGAGGGTAGGGGTACCCATTATCCACTCACTTGGGGACTCCCTTCCTCGCCAAATACATCCAAATACTATATGGAAGGCGCGTTTCTTCTCTTCCGAGCCTACCGAAAAACACAATCTTGTCCAAGATCGTCCATTGGATGGTCATCACCAAGGGTATCGCTACTTGAAAACGATCTCTACTCCGCCCCAGATCTCATTGCAGCCAAGGTTTTTGTTGTTGTGCAAAGTTTGAATTCAATATACA